CAGTGAGCTAATATTATATTCATTGCCAAATAGATATTTCATGAAAGTCTTACTCATCAGCAGACTAAGCTATCTGAATCATTGCTGTAAATATCTCTGTATAATTTATAATTGGTTACACATTCAACTTTTGTGTTTCCATTCATTAGGTTTTAAGTGTCTTTCATGCAAAGATGCCTCTAAAACATTAACTCTAAGCCATGCCAACGCATTCTCACCCCAAGGCGTCACCTTTGACCATGCTTCAATATTTGACGTTTTAGGCGCCACTTACATGACACGATCCTACGGCGTCATCTAACTGACGCTAAAGGAAAGCGTCAGTTAGAGGACGCGGTTAGGTTTAGGTCTGGGGTGGGGGTAGGGTACACGCGATCCTAGGGCGTCATCGAACTGACGCTAAAGGGCGCCTAAAGCGTCAGATATTGAAGCATGGTCAAATGGCTCAAAACATACATAAACTACAGGAGGATCATACAATGTCTATAAACAAGACAAATTTACATCTCACATCAATGAATTTTAGTGAGATGCTTAATGCATGCAACAATAAGGAACTCGAAGCGGAGTACTACTGCATTATCATGTGAAATTATCCAGATCTAAAAGCCTCTCAGTCCACATGCTTGACACTTTAAATGCCTTATGCTTTTTCAATTGGACATTTCAAAAAAGTATTACACAGTAAGAGATGTTCTTATTCATGGTACTGTGCCTAAGAACATTAGTTACGAAAACAACAACTGTTTTATTTATTCTAAACTAATGAAATCCGGTGCTAGCTAGCTAGTTCCACGCTGGCTAGTCAGCCAAATTGGTCGTGCCGTGTAGTGAAGAGTCAATAACTGTCTGCAGCTGTGTTTGTTTCACACACACACACACACACATTTTGTTTCATGATGAGGACCTCCTTTTGACTTTTAATAAAGCTGCTACTATGGACTAACCCAAACAAAACCTAACATTGTTTTAGGCATTTAACATGAAAATAGTTATTCCCTTTATGGTTCATTCTACATAGCAGACACCATCGTATTTTTACGTAATCATTTAGCAGACACTTTTATCCAAAGCGAGAGGCAATCAAACCTATAGGGCAACAACCCAGTATGCAAGTGCTGTGACCAGTCCCAGTTAGTTTAGCACATTGCACATAACAAGGTTGTTTGTTTTTAAATAGTAGAAATATAGACACAATAGTAAGTGTTAATGGGTCATGGTTGAAGATAAAGATTCTTTTTCAGATATTTCATGAAAATGGCTAAAGACTCTAAATGGCAGCTTGGGTTGAGTTAGGCAGGTCATTCCACCAACTTGGAACAGTCAAGATAAAGGTCCGTGGAAGTGATTGTGTCCCTTTCATCCCTTTTTGGGATGGCACCACATGTTGTCACAGGATCCTTCAGAAATCATGCTAATATGCTGACCGGTGCATATTATTATTATATTAGTTATTAATGTTAAAAACAGTTCTGCTACATAATATTTTTTGTGAGACAGTGGCTGTGATGAATGAAAAATTCTGAACAGCTGGGATTGAGAGGTTAGTGAGGGGCACAGAATCATCAAAATCCCAGCTTCCATAAACACAGACCGCTCTTAAACAGCATGGCTGGGCCGCAGGAGGCACAGTCCATTCAGAGCCAGCTTGTCACAGTCTTGAGTATGATAAGGTATGGTGTAATATTTTTGTAATATTCTCAACAGAATAACTCAACAGATCTCTGTGGTCTGGCGTGCAGCCGGAAGAAAGAGCTCTGACAGTGGATGAGAGTGGCAGCTAAAGATGTCACATTATCAAGGGATGAGGCTGGAAGGGACCTGATAATGCCATTTCAATGACAGGAACTGCTGGCCTTTCACATGAAACTCCCAGATGTGCTTAGAAAGAAATAAGAAGGGTCAAAAAATTAGCAAGTTGCAACTTGAGTTTATGCATATGAAGAGTTCAGATGCAAAAGCCTCTAAATGCCATTTGAAATTTTCTTCTTTAATGATGATTTTTATCAAACTTGTATATTTAAGTTCAGTAATTTCACTTAAATAACAATTAATAGGTAATTATCATTGCAATTTAAGTGAAATTACTGAACTTAAATATACAAGCTTGATAAAAATCATCATTAAAGAAGAAAATTTCAAATGGCATTTAGAGGCTTTTGCATCTGAACTCTTCATATATATATATATATATATGTTGTATACTTAATATTAAGTGGCTTTAACTATGTAATTACATTTGTAAATACACTGTTGACCCTTCCCTTACACCTTAACCCACCCTTAAACCTTCCCATACACACCTGTCCCTAACCTAACTCGTATCCCACCTCAATAGCAGCAAAAGTGTTTTACAATACATTATGAACACAATAAGTATACTGAACAAAATTATAAAAAATCTGGCTTAAAATCATGTAGTGTGAACTAAGCTTAACACAGATTTAGACAGATTTGTGAACAATATTTGAGAGAAATATGCTTTTGTGTACATAGAAAAAGTCTTAGATCTTTGATTTCAGCTCATGAAAAATGGGGGCAAAAACAAAAGTGTTGCATACATAAATTTGTTCAGTGAACATTGTACCTATTTTTCAATGTAAGTACATAGTACTTAAAGTCACTTAATATAGAGTGGGACCTTTTACTTTATTTAGAATTAAAATATACACTTTATCTAATAAATTCATACACATTTTTTATTGGCACAATATAACATTTTCTCTTAGAACTCAAAGTTTTCAGCTATGAGTATGAATATCTATATATAGCAGGACTCATGCTCTGTCCACAAACCAGCGGCCCAGCCCCTTTTATAATTTAAGGCCACAGAAGAGCTGCAGAAGGAACGGTGAAACAAATCAGAAAGAATAAAAGGTAAGTATCTAACACACTGCTTAAGTAGAAATATTGTCTGATTGTTAGATGCACTGAGGGCATTTAGGCATGGATCTTCTTCTGGGTCTGTTTAGGCATTGCTGTCTGGGTAAAGATTTTTTTTTTTTTTTTCCTATTGATTTCACAGAAGCAGAATCGGCGTAGCATGTCCAGGCCTAAAGAGCAGACAGGAGCATTAACAGTAACTCCCAACTCAAAAGTGAAAATTGTGCTTACTTCATTGTTGTGATTCTAATGCATTTACATGACATGCCTTTTAGAGTTATCTTTTCTCACATCAAAAATAACTCTGAAAATGCTTTAAGTGCTTGTTCCCACAAAGCAATTCTTTACAATGTTCGCAAATATAATTACTTACAGCTGTATTTTATGCATTAGTAAAGTGTGTGACAGAACTGATATTTAACATGGTATCCTTAATGGTCCAAAGCAATATAATGGCTGATGAAACAGTACAAGGAAAGAGAATTTGCCATGCACTGTTGAAATAAAGCAATGGTAAATGGGCATGCATTTAAAGATTGCACCACGTCAGAAAATCTATATAAACAGTTTCTTTACAAAACACTTTTTTTCTTTATCAAAAGTTTATATGATGTATAAATCAATTTAATTTAATGTTGGAGGCCGAACACCCATTCATTATTATTATTATTACTACTACTACTATTATTGATGTTGTTGTTGTTGTTGCAGGAACAATAAAGTAAATGACAATAACATGAAGTACCTACTTGGAAATAGGAAGAAGAAGAAAGACACTAATGTACAGAAATCCACTGCTTTGTAATGCGTGCCAACAATTATTCAAAATAAAACCACATGCTTAACTCCTTTATTATAGTTATTTAAAAAAGTTTCCCACTAACAGACACAGACCCTAACACAGACCCTCAGTGTGTCTCCCATTACGTGTACACATACTACATACATCAAGTAAGGACACCAGGACAAAACACTGTGCTTCTCTACCAGACAGAAACATATTCATCTACACAAGACCGGCATAGTAAAGATGAGAGACAAGCCAAAGAAAACAGTAAGAGTGTTTATTCAGGCTCTCCTTTATCGTAGACTACATTAAGATACTTTGTGGCTGACTGCTGCTTTTGACCTTGGTTAAAGTCTCATGAGCAATATTTTCTCTTTCTTTATATACTCAGTGTTTCTTTTTATAATGACTGAGAGCATGTCTAATTACTGAGTAAAACATTGCAAACATGCACAAAAACATTCGGCATGCCCTCTCTGAAACCTGAAAACATGAATCGCGTCTTCAAGCAGCTATAGAGAAAAAGCTCAAAGCTTCTACCCATGAAAACACACACGCACACAACGTTCAAGCTGTTCCTGCTTCAGAGATCCTGTTGAGACATGAAAACCCAGTGCCTTTGGTGATTACATGATGAGCATTAATTAAGCAAGCTGATTGGATATTTACCAGCATCTCCCGACCACATGATAGCACAGGTTTGTGAAGAGAATGAATCATCGCACACATCAAAATTGATTGCATTCCCTCACAACAGAGATTGTGGTCCACCCCAGGGCATTACGAAAGATGCCAAACAAACCCGGTCAAATAGTCGAGCTGAATTTCCCCCCATATCAAAAGAATCCATCCACAAGCCATCTATCCATCATCCAACTCTATTGATCTCTCAGCTGAATGTGAAATATAAACACTATCAGCACTCAGCTCTGACATGGCAGACAAACTATGACAATGTAGACAATAACAAAAGCACTAAGCAGGCAACATCCTACACGTGAACTCAACAAAGCACAGGAAACACCTAAAATCCCCCCCTGCAAGACGATGAAGATGGTGCAACTGAGAAAAAAAAAACTAAATCACCAGAAAGCACAGCAATTAATTTAGACTCACAAGTTAAGAAGCCTTGATAAATGTGCATGTTTTGGTGTGACAGTTTCTGATCTGCAGGCTTCCGTTGCTGACTGACAGAACCATAGAAAACAAAACCATGGAGGAAAAAAAGGGTCACTGCCTAGGCAGACGGCATTTATCGGTACGTGCACAGAGAAAACACATGAGAGCGCAGAGAACAGATGTGCGTGAGAGAAAGAAAGACAAATCTTACCCTATACCTCTGCTTGTTCATGTGATGGTGCTCAGAGCACAGACTGCTCACAAACAAAATGCTTTTTTGAGCTCAGTCAGCGGCAGAAACGTCCCTCCCCTCCTCTATGAATTAATTAAACATTCTCTCTCTCTCTCTCTCTCTCTCTCTCTCTCTCTCTCTGCCTCTTGTGATTATCCTTCAGTGTTGCATGCAATGCACTCCTTTGGCTGTAGCAGATGAAAATGTCCCTGCACTTCTTTCTCTGACAGCCTGTTTACAGAGCGCTCTGCTGTCGTTCTGTCTCTCTCTCGCTCTCTCACTCTCACTCTGTACACACTCTCTCATCAACAGTGCAATATCAAAGTGCTTCTCATAGGACCAGCCCTCCCCCTTGCGAACAACCCTAACCACCACAGTTAGTGCCCCTTACTGTAAAGTGTCACCACAGAACCTAAAATTATTTCTGCTATAAAGCCTTTTTGGACATAAAAGAAATCATCTATGTTACGTATGGTAACTCTCGTTCCCCAAGGAGGGAATGGAGATGTACATCAGAAGCAATTCTGATGAATGGGGATCTCACTTGAGAGCCTATCTAATTTGAGTGCAACTAAACGAGCCAATGCACATTGGCATACGATGATTCGTGAGCTTAGAATTATAAGGTTCTATCTCTGTTTAGGGTAGTTCTGAGATATTGAGCATCAAAGTTTTTACATCCTAGCTGGCAAAACTGTTATGTAGTATAATCTTCTATTATAGCTTTATCTATTAATCTTTTTTTTTTTTTTTTACAAAAATAACACCACACAGGCATTAATAAACACCCAATGGATCAGATTATGTCAAAAACTCAATTTCGACCAAAAGTGGAGATAGAACCTTATAATTCTAAGCTCACGAATTGCACTAGCTGCTGTGCATTGCGACTTGAACATCTAATGGTCCTTCGTGCTACAGGCCACTGGGGGACACTGAGATTATAGAATCTACCAAATGTGTTAGGTGTTGCCCATCCGGTAGCTCTACATTTATCTCTCAGCAAAGACCCTTGAGTCAGCACCCAGGAGGAAGCAACACTTCTAGTTGAGTGTGCTCGCAAGCCGAACGGGCAATATGCCTAGGAAACTAGCATCCACTATCCAGTGGGCTAACCTCTGCATGGAGACAACCTTTCTCTTCTTCTGGCCTCTGTAACAGACAAAGAGCTGTGTCCAGCGAGGTATACGCAACCAGGACGTTCCCTTTCAGTCGAGAACGTCAGACACAGTCGATGTCCACTGAATGGGGATAACCACTGAACAAGCCACTATCTTCCACCTTAGGAAGCTGACACCTTCCAGTGCCTAGACAAAAGCCTTGAGATCCCCCCCACAATTTTTTATTTATTTATTTATTTATTGGCAGGATTTAAGGCGGGAAAGGACAGGGCTTAGGCCAGGAAAGTCCCCGCTGTTCTTACAGGACCACTGGGAAAGCGTTCCCTCTACAAGGAAGGAAGGGATGCTGCGGAAGCCACATCCTGCCGGAAGGGATGCGACCTGAAGAATATATATGAACTGGGTGGATGACCGGACAGTACGACATATGGAATCTCACTGGGGTGGCTCCAGCCTAATACAGGGGGAGCAATCAATCGGACAGTGATGTCTCTGCCAAGGGAAGACATGGGTTCGCTGCAGGGAGCAGTACCTTGGAAGAATACACATATGGGATCGCCATAGGGATCACAGCATATGGACCCAGCCTAAGACAGGTTCCATTAGTGCATACAAGTGATAGGCCTGGCTTCAGACGTTCCTGCCGAAGGGTATGGAGGAACTCAACAGGGTTCGGCAAAAAAGGGGAACTCAACTAGAACAAAAATTGTGCATATAACCAGTCCATAGGAGGGGAATGGCACAGCAAGCTGACTCAATGAACCGGGCTTACAGTGAAACTGGCTTCATGTGAAGGGAGCCCACAGGAAGCAGCGGTTCGACTAAGGTGTCACCTAGTCCCCAACTCACGAATATCTGTCAGCGAAGCACTCTTTGTCAATGCCTAGGCGAGAGCACACACTCATTTGAGAGGAGCTCACCACCTAAGTGGACATGTGCATCTCAGGAATTTCACCAAGATGAAGGCAGCCACAATTTCAGTGGGCCAACCTCACTTGGAAACAGCCTCCCCTCTCTGCTGATTTCCTTTACAGATAAGAGCTGGTCTGAGGTCCTAAGGCTTGCGTTTTGTGCACCCACAATGAAGCGGACGAACAGAGAAAGGCAGGGATGGAAAAATACAGCAAATCGCACCGGCGCATTTGTCGAAGACCAGAGGGTTAACTTTAGCCTATCCATCAATCTTCTTCCGCTTATCCAGGGCCTGGGTCGAGGGGGCAGCAGTCTAGGCAGAGATGCCTAGACTTCTCTGTCACTAGACACTTTCTCCAGCTCTTCCGTGGGGACACCGAGGCATTCCCAGGCCAGCCGGGAGACATAGTACCTTCACCGTGTCCTAGGTCTTCCCTGGGGTTTCCTTCCAGTAGGACGTGCCCGGAACACCTTCCCGGGAAGGTGTCCAAGAGGCATCTGGAACAGATGCCGGAGACACCTCAGCTGACCCCTCTCGATGTAGAGGAGCAGATGTAGATGAGTTCACTGTACTAAAATGGCCCCCACAGTCACCAGATCTCAACCTAATAGAGCATATGGATGTGGTGGAATGGCTTCGTGCCATGGATGTGCATCCCACAAATCTCCATCAACTGCAAGATGCTATCAAAATGCGCCAAAATTAAAAAAAAAAATGCTTTCAGCACCTTGTTGAATCAATGCCATGTAGAATTAAGGCACTTCTGAAGGCAAAAGGCAGTCAAAAACAGTATTAGTATGATGTTCTTAATAATTCTTTAGGTGAGTGTATGTCTATGTCTAGGCCTATTTAGAGTGCTGAGATGTTGCAATTTTACAGAGGACTTATTTTATTTCTTTGTTCCAACTTCCAAGTGGTCTATAGCCTATGTTAGTCATGAATAAATGATGTTAAAAATGTATTTAAATGACTCATTCTTGACAAAAGGCAAAAGAGCTGTGTGTGCGCACATTTGAATAATATCGGTCTGTAAACTGTTTTTTTTTTTTTTTTTTTTTTTTTTTTTTAAAAGCTGTGAATCAAAATGTACTTGTCAGGTTCTTTGCTCTAAATTTTAAGGCCTGATTATAGCTCTATCCCCTCGGCCAGGGAATAAAACATCTGGCGTTATCATCTTGAATGGGAACTTGTGCAGGGCCCGATTCAAGGTTCGCAGGTCCAAGATCAGTCCTAACCCACCACCTTTCTTGGGTATAATGAAGTAGGCGTTGTAGAACCCTGTGCCCATACTGGCTGGTGGGACTAGCTCGATCACGTCTTTCGACCAGTAGGAGATCGATCCCTGCCCGCAAGACAGAACTGAATTTGGGTAGGCGCCGGGCGAACTGATCGCTGCCATCCGTACCCTCGTGATTCAGAGATGAAATTAAATTGCTCTTTTATTGAAAAGGTGGGTACCGCTGGACTCTGAGGAGCCAATAAGAACAGTTCTATTTCCAAACATGACTGGGCAGACTCCAGTTTTGCTCTTTTCTATTTTATAATAAATAACATGCTATACAACTCTGCTCATTCTGTATAGCCAAATACAAACACAAAACATCATCATGCTGATATTATCTGCCACAAGCTTAAAGTTTATAATAATTGAGATCACTCAAATTTACCACTGTGACTTCTATGTGGGTGTCATGAGTCTGGTGGTCACAATACCGTTCCTTCTACATTTTAGAACCATTATTCATAAACAGAATGAGATCAGCACTCAACAACTCATGATGCTTACTTAAATCGAGGATGACTGCAGACTATTTGAAAAAGAAATCATTAAAGAACCCATGAAGGTTTTGTGGTCTGATGTCTGTTGGCTTTGAGGTCATGTACAATGTCCAATCCACTAATGCAATCTGCAAATCTACTAGCGAAGAGCAAATCATGGTTTATGGTGCTAAAATAACCAAAGAGGGGTCAACCGTTTGTTGACATAATAACTACCGAAAAATCCCTTCGACAACAACTTCCTGTTTCAAAAGTAAATATATGTCAACAGAAAAAGACAAAAGTGCTTGTTGAACATTATTTCAAGGGAGCTTTAAGAACATAACACAAATGATACAAAACATAGAAAACTATTATAAATAACTAATAAGTTAAGAATAAATAACTGTAAGAGAGTAACAAAGCTTTTAGCACAAATAAATCCGAGCAGACAGAAAATATTTATTTTATATAAAACACATCTAAAAATATACATGCACATTCTTAGAAGTAGGAGTAATAGTTAGAAATTCAATGAATCTTCTTTAATGTTACATGATTAGGATGATATAATGGTCCTTCAAAGGACGATGGGATGAGGCCAGTGCTTATCAACCGAATAGGGAATTAAGCTGCAGCACCATCGCTCCATCACCTAATTTGAGAAGCAGAGAAAGGGACAGATATAGCCCGGGAGTGCTCCTCCCCTGCTCCTGTGATCAGAAGCAGACTGTTTTTGTCTGGCCTGACTTTCACCTAGGTATGACATGCATTTTCCCATGAATTTACTCTAAAAAAAACCTTTTTAGGTAAGTGCTTTCAATCAGCTGACCCTGAAGCCTCCAGCCTGTTGAGATACTACAGTTAAAGGAACAAGGAGAAAAGATCACACTCTTTCCATAGACAAAAAAAAAAAAGAGTCTAAAAGATACGGCTGTCCTTAGCGTGATAATTTTAGATTGGTAAGCTGGCCGTCTTGTGCATATAGAAATAAGTGTTGAGGAAATATGTAGGAGTGTCAACGTGAGGAGACGTCTGTTTTCAAAGTGTTGAAGAAGAAATATGCATACAGTATTATCTACAATCTACAAACAGTATTTCTTACTAATGTGCAAAAGCACAGAAGTACCATACATAAAAACCCACAAAGTGTGGTGAATTTACATGGTGAAACAGACTACACACAATATGTTTGAAAAGGCAAGAGAAATGAAACAGTGAGAGGAAAATGTATATAGTTCTAGAGGTCTGCGTAACATGTCTGTTCTTTCTCTTTGTCTTTCTCTTGTGCTGTCTCTCTTTCTGATGGGACTTTCCCTTTTTCTGTTAGAAATGGAGGCGTTGCCTTGTGCCAGCAGAGCGTATGCTTTCACTTCCTGTCCCTATCTTATTGTATTCTTTGTTTTAAGATATTAGCAAAAACTTTTATGAACCAACATGCATTTGATTATACATGAAAAAGACCTCATTTGCTCTAAATATTCTCAACCCATCTATATTAGGTTATATCTATAATATTAATATATATTTGCTGTGACAAAAAAAAATGGCATTTACTTTTGTATCCAGCACTGAGTTGAAACTGACAGCTTGACCCTGCTGTAGAGACTTTATATATGGACGTCCATATGGAACTCAGCAGGGTAAAGGGACAGAGACCCTCACACAGTGTCCGAAAGAAGAACAAGAAAGAGCCTGGAGGGTGGGATTCACATGCTATTTTCAACCCAGCTGTCCCATCTCCCCAGTGAGCGGAAACACTGTCCTTTGTGCCTAACCTCAAAGCCCACTGGGACCATTCACCTCATTATCATCATGAGTGAGAGCACCAGGGGCCTTTATTTTTTCC